AAGGAAAACTCAGGCTGAAAATTTAAAGTGACTTATCCAAGGTCATACACCCAGGTGGTTCTCCAGACTTACAGGCTCCAATGCCCTTGAGTGAGAATTTGTCTCATACAAATTAATTGAAAACTAAGAGGTGTCTGGGTGGTGTGGGGTATTAGGTGGCAAAGATTGGGTGTCAGAAGCAGGAACAAGGGTGATACAGGAAATGGAAAGGAGAGAGAAGAGGAGGAGGCAGAGGGCTCAAGGGAGAGGTCAGAGCTAAAGAGGTCACACCCTCCCAGTTCCTCCTGCGCTGGCTTCCTCTTTCCTGAGCAGAACAGCCCAGATTAAGCCAGACCTCCTCTCTGTAAGAGAGTACAAAGACGTAGTGCTCCAAATGCTTGCTGGAATGCAAGCCCCTCAGTCGTTCCTGCTGCTACTGCTTACCCTGCCAGTCACAGGTAAGTGGATGAGGGCCCAGATGTCCTCCCAGGGATGCCCAGGTCAACCATACCTTGATTGTCCATTCTTCTCCCCTGATCTTACAGGTTCAGACCCTGTGTTCTGCTTTACCCAGTATGAGGAGTCCTCTGGCAAATGCAAAGGCCTGCTTGGGGGAGATATCAGTGTGGAAGACTGCTGTCTCAATGCTGCCTATGCCTTCCAAGAGCACGCTGGTGGTCTCTGTCAGGCATGCAGGTTCGGGGGAACCTGTGCTGAGCTCTATAATCCAGAACTGTACTCTCTCCCTGGAGCTTTTAAGAGTGCCCCCACCCAAGTCTTCCTCATGACCATAGCTCAGAGTTTCAAAACCTTGGCACTATTGCCGTTTGGAGCTCTTTGTTGGGGGTATGAGGTCTGAGCATTGTTGGGTATTTTATAACATGACCTTCCCCTAAGTGTTTTTAACAACTTTAACAACTCCCTCCACTGGTTAACATTGGGAGTGGGGGTGTATCTGATTCTTTCACCTGCTTTTGGGACCCTTTTCCTCCTACTGGGTTGCCTCACCAAGCCCTGATAGGTTTGTGCCTAGTCTTGTTGTATGCTGTATTCAGTTGATATCCCTGGGAGGCCTGCTCCTTTCTGAAGGGAAACAGAAGGAGTGGGTCTCATGGGCTGGGGGTGGAGTGGAAAGAGAGGAAACTATAGTCGGAATGTATTGTATGAAGAGAATTGTTTTAAAAAGACAACCATAACTGACTCTAGAAACTGCTAAATGTCCCCTGATGGAGACAAAATCAGCCCTCATTGAAAAGTACCACTGTCAGAACTTCCTGTAAATATTGCAGGTGGGGTGCAACTTATATATTTTTGGTGGTAGCTCCATTCTCCTAACTTATAACAGATGATACTTGAGTGCTTATTGTATATAGATCCATCATAGGAATGGAGGACCTTGGGGAAAATCTAAGGGCAATGCCCAAACCTTTATTTGTAATGACACATTCATTGTGCAATTCCTCTGTGGTAGTTTGATCTCTGAAAGAACCTCAAGTCTCCTAATCATGACGTCCAGTTTACATATGTTGAAACTTAATGTATTGTAGATATATTTTATGACTGCTTATTATGTACTCTGGGTAACACTGTAAAAATGTTGGGTTTGGAGATCTTGGAAAAGCAGCTCTGGGCCCCCAATCATGCTAACCGTTCATGTCTCTTTAGCACTAGCATGCACACCCAGTCCTGTACAGGAGGCTAAGCATAGCTCTAGGATGTTTCTGAAGCTCCTGTTTTTCTAAGCACTTCCTGTCTGCCAGCAACTGTACAGGGTGGTGACCTATTGGGTTCTTGGCAGAAGTTCTGGGCTTTTAAAAAGTCCTTACATTTGCTTATTGTGTATGGCTTAGTCCCTGGGGGATTTCCAAGGCCCTTGTCATAAAGGGAAATGAAATTTATCATACACTTACTATATACTCACATCTTCCTATTCAATCCCCCACCATCCCTAAGTGGTAAGTAGGTGCTCACTGTTTCATCTTGTATATTTACCCAGAACCCCTCCTGTACCAACCTGTACTCTTTGGTGTCCCACATGCCATCTTGTCAGTTCATACCAGTATGCAACATGGGCTCCTCTCTGTAGGTCCCCACGATGGTCACCATGGTCCTCATGGGCCCCCTGCTCGGTTACATGCTCTGAGGGGTCCCAACTGCGACACAGGCGCTGTGTGGGCAGGGGTGGGCAGTGCTCTGAGAAGGTGGCTCCTAGAACCCTTGAGTGGCAGCTACAGGCCTGTGAGGATCAGCCATGCTGTCCAGGTAAGGAACATCAGCAATGTGGGCATGCACTCTGTATTACCCAGCCCCAGGGCCAGAAGAATCAGTTCAGAGGCCCTGAGGACAGATCCGTGTGTGGCTTTAAGGGAAACTGAGGAGGCTGGGATTGCTGGAGGAAAATGCTTGGAAGTGATCACGTTGGCTTTAGTCTGAGTAATTTGTATTGTGAAAAGGGGAGAAATTAACTTTGACTTGATTTTGGAAGAAGACAGGCCATATCTGAAGCAGAGGGACGAGTATGAAGGCAACTGCCATAGTCTAGATGAGTAGTGCTGGTAGGCTAGGAATAGGAACAAGAGAACAAGAGATAGGAGGACAGAGTTAGCTTATGTGGGTCACACATAAAAGGAAGGAATCCTAAGTGCCACCCCCACCTCCCATCTTTTTCTCCCACAGAAATGGGTGGTTGGTCTGAGTGGGCACCCTGGGGGCCTTGCTCTGTCACCTGCTCCAAAGGAACCCAGACCCGTCAACGAGTATGTGACCACCCTGCTCCTAAGTGTGGGGGCCACTGCCCAGGAGAGGCCCAGCAATCACAGGCCTGTGACACTCAGAAGGTCTGCCCCAGTGAGTAAGGGCAGCCACAGGACATTGAAGGGGTACCCAGAATGGATCTATTGGGTTAGAGCAGAAAATTGCCAGGGAGAAAAGACTTGAGCACTCTTGACCACAGTTCATCCTTCCACTCCTACCACAGCACATGGGGCCTGGGCAGCCTGGGGCCCCTGGAGCCCCTGCTCAGGAACCTGCCTTGGTGGAACTCAAGAACCTAAGGAGACACGAAGCCGCACATGTTCTGCACCAGCGCCTTCCCACCAGCCCCCTGGGAAGCCCTGCTCAGGACCAGCCTATGAGCATCGGGGCTGCACTGGCCTGCCACCCTGTCCAGGTATGTAGTGATGAGGTCAGTGGCACAGAGCTAGTGGAGCATTGGATTTCTGGCAAAGATACTGTGGCATTTAAAGGATTAGCATTCTTATACCATGTGATCACAAGCCCATCATTTGAAGACAATTTGCCTTGTGTTTAGATGTGTCAGAGAGGGAAGCTGGGGTGTATGCATGATTAAGGTGGCCGGTCATTTCGCTTTCTTTCCCATTCTAACAGTGGCTGGTGGATGGGGGCCATGGGGCCCTGTGAGTCCCTGCTCGGTAACCTGTGGCCTGGGCCAGACCCTAGAACGACGAACATGTGATCGCCCTGTACCCCGTCATGGGGGCCTCTTCTGTGCTGGTGATGCCACTCGGACCCACATCTGTAACACAGCCATGCCTTGCCCTGGTTAGCAACTCAGGAGGCACCATTCCCATTTCTAAGCCCCCTGCCCATCACTGCTGACCACTTCCTGCTGCCAAAGCCTTGTTCCTGCCTCTGATCCTCCTCTTCCTACCCTCATGCCTTGATTCACCTCCCACATCTGTTCACTCTTACTCCCTCCCATAGCCTTCATTCCTTCCCCTGAGGCTCTTTACTGGCTCCAAATCCATTTACCTCTTGTCTCTACAGTAAATGGGGAGTGGGAGGCCTGGGGGAAATGGAGTCACTGCAGCCGTGTGAACATGAAGTCCATCAGCTGTGAAGAAATCCCGGGCCAGCAGTCACGCACAAGGAACTGTAGAGGCCGCAAGTTTAATGGACAGCGATGTCCTGGGGAAAACCATGATATTCGACACTGCTATGACATCCATAACTGTGTCTGTGAGTAACCCACAGACAGTACTGTAAGGGTGGGCAGCCATGCAGTAGCAATGCTAGGGATCCTATGTCCCTGAAATCTCTTTTTCCCATTAAGACCTCCAGTTTTGACTATGATATTCTGCCCCCACCCTCCACACTGCAGTGAAAGGTTCATGGTCACAGTGGAGTACCTGGGGTCTCTGCACACCACCATGTGGACCCAACCCCACCCGTGTCCGCCAGCGCCTCTGCACACCTTTGCTTCCCAATTTCCCGTGAGTTGGGGGACATTGTATTCCTAGGAGGGGGTCTTGATGCTGAAGAATGAGAAGAGAATTGGTTACACTGAGCTTCACCACTGCATCAGAGGTGCCTGCCTTGCCAGTGCCATCTCCCAGTTTAGAGAAGAGGAGAGAAAGAATAGGAAAGGCAGTTGGAGAAGACTTAATGGCCTCTGTGCTCCTTGGTTACTAATGCAGTCATTCAGCAGTGCTTCCATGCACACAGTCTTTCATGTGGCCTTCCCCACTGAACTCTTAGTTAGCGTACTTTGACTTACTAAGTCACCCATACCTCCATTCATCCGCTCCACATTTCACTGCCCTGAGGTACTCCAAGGCCTCTTTAGCAACAGTTGCAGATAAAAGAACCCATATCTATGGACAGAAGGGACCCAGATGAGATGAGCTATGATAGAATCCATATAAAAATGACAGGTAAGTGGCAATGAGACTATCACTACTCCCTGGGCCTAGAAAGCTAATCAGACCTTTTTGGGTAGATGAGGATTGGGAGAAGCATTCCTGACATCCAAATTGTGAGCAGAGTCCTGGGCAGAGCTGATTAGCCACCCTAGGTGTTTATTGGACACCACAGTGGCCCCAGAAATAAAAAGAGAAAAGCTACCCATCCCTTCCTTACACCACAGAGGTCAAGATTTAGTGGCCCTTTTCACAGCTAGTGAGAAGCCTGTCACTGCGATAGGATCTCCCAGCTGTGGGTGTCACATTAGTTCCTCAAGAAGAGTTAGAGTCTATGTAGAGAAGAACCAATTGAGAGAATCTGGGTGAAAATTAATAGAGGGCTTGCCTACTAGAAGAAATAATCCTGTCAAAAATCTTCCTGAATATTTAAGGTTCCATTTGGATAAAGTTGGGAAAGGTAGAGAAAAGAAAAGGGAGGGAGGAAGAGAAGAAAGAATGATTTGGGATAAGGATTTAAGTTGAGTATAAGGAGAGAGGAGGGTGTGGAAGTAAGAGTATTCCTATTACTGCCATTTTTTAGATGAGGGAAACAGGCACAGGAAGTTATCTTTTCTATTTCTTTATCAGAAATAGCCCAGTATCACAGTTAGACAGTGTTAGGTACACAGTGAGTTGTTAATCCAGGTGTGGTGGTGCAAACCTGTAATCCTAACTACTTGAAAGGCTGGAGCCAAATGACCACATGTTCATGAGTTCAAGGCTAGCCTGGGTAACATAGTGAGACTCTTTAAATAAATAGAAAGAGAGGGGATAGATCAGTAGGAACTAAAAAAAGAAGAAGAAGAAGAAGAATGCTATGCTATGGGGTATGCTGGAGTATTTACCTAGTAAGTACAAGGCCCTAAGTTCAATCTCTAATACCACCAAAAAAGGTTTTGTTATGAGACTTGCTCATAATTCCCACATCTGGGAGGCTGAGGCAGGGAGATCATTGAGTTTGAGATCAGACTCAAAAAAAAGTTTTTTCAATACATTGTTGCCTTCCCTGAGCTTTTCTCCATTGCTTCCCCAACACCCCAGGCCTACAGTTTCCATGGTTGAAGGTCAGGGTGAGAAGAATGTTACCTTCTGGGGAACCCCACGGCCACTGTGTGAGGAGCTACAGGGGCAGAAGCTGATGGTGGAAGAGAAACGGCCATGTCTACATGTGCCTGCCTGCAAAGATCCAGAGGAAGAAAAACCCTAAAATCCCTCAATAAACCAGCCTTTATAAACTCTTCTAAGATTCCTTAAAGAAGGGGGGAAACCTGCCCCCTTTCCTTGATTGAAGCAATGAATTTTCTAGAGCAAAGTAGTAGTGTTCTGTTGTGAAATATTTTGTTCAATTGTGTTTGCAGCTTGGAAAGCAAGTGTCCAGACCCAGCCTGTCTTTGCCATGACTATAAGGGGGTGGGCTAGGAGACTGTTGACAGGGTGAGTTTTGTCATTGACTGCTCACCTTGGCAGAACTTTTTGATTGACCCATGTGCTATTTAGTTGCTCTCTCTTACTTTATGAAGTTCCCTAGGTTCCCACCCACACATCAGAGCCTCTCAGCTGGCAGATCTGTGGTGAACTGGGTGGGATGTTACCAGAGTTGGCACCCAGCTGAGAAAACACCTGCACCCACCCACTGAAAACAGCCTAGCTCCAACACCACAATTATCAATAACAAATAGCTGGGGGAAGGGGCATCGAGGAGGTGGTTATGATGCACTTTGATCTGGGGCAGGGGCAAAGAGAAGCTAGAGTTAGCATCAGCCTGGAGGAACCCCCAAGACAAATCTTTTTGTATTTGTTCATTTAACACTTTAGTGTATATGTATGCTAGAGATAAGTCTGAGCATCTGGGCTGGAGGAGGACTGGTAGAAGGCGAGGACATCTGAGAGTCTGAGCAGACTCAGAATAGGCATTCCTTTTGTTCAAACATGTATTCAATGCTTAACGCCTACTGTATACTAACAATAGTGCTGGGCATTGGGGACACAAGGAAAAAGAAGAATCAGCTGCCCGTGTCTCCACAGTAATGGAAACAAACCTAGACACAAGTGTTCTTAGAATTTGCTCATTCGTTTACCATTCACTGAATGCTAAGCCCCTTCATGATAGAATTATGAAGGAATCATATTAGGGGTAATAGCTAACACCTAGAAAGCAAATTACTAGGAGCCAAGTAGTGTCTTAAGGCTTTCCATAGTGTGGATTCATTTAATCCACAATGAACCCAAGAGGGTCAATATTATCCCCCACTTTACAACAGAGACACTAGCACAGAAAAGTAATAAACTGGATGTTTTTGAAGCACCACACATGCAATAGGAGCAGAGTTTGCAGCTTCATGCAGTAGGTGAAGGGGAACTTTTTGTGTGGGAGATTGGTGAGACCCAGAGTTTTGTCAGAATGTATAACACCAGTTGATGGGTAGAAGTGAAGACAAGTCCATGAGAACTTGGTCATCTTGGGAAGGCTGAGTCAAAGTGAGGTTTTATAGTTGCTACTACAGAGTGTAAGAGATACGTGTTTGCAAGAAAGTGGAACCTTGGCTGTGTATGCACTGTATGTGTATGTATGCACTGTGAGGTACATAGCTCTGTAATGTAGACTTCCATAGCTTTTCAAGAATTAGGGCTGTATTGGGTGTGTGGTTTAAGAGGTTATAACTGCACTAAAAGCATGAGGTGTGTGTGTGTGTGTGTGCACTTACACTAGGGTAGCATGTGTAGGTATGTGTTATGGGCACAATACTGGCATGTTTAAGTTGCTGCTTACCAACACACAAATTATTCTTAGACTCTTCTGTATGCCTATTCCTGTTTGAGAAGATGGTATGGAGATTTGCCTCTGCCTTGAAGAGTTAAGACAACCAGGAGGAGTGGGAGGCAAATTCCTCTAAAAGACGATGTACAAAAGTTAATTTCTGAAAACAGACACCTAGGGGAAAAGGATGGCACTAGGAAGCTACAAGTACTAAGAGTCTGTGTTTCCCAGGAAGAGCCACAGTCAAGGTGGCTGTGTGGAGCCCTGATTTCAGGCCCAGAGGAGCCAAAACAGTCCTGAAGACCTGCAACTGCTCCTGAGTCACCAGAGAGGCCACCACAAACCATGTTCTTTTTTAATTAGCAATAGAATTACATATTTTAAAACATTAGAAATAGCCAATATGCAGGGAGCTCTTCATTTGAATTTCCGCAGAGCATCCTGCAAGAGGATGAGAAAGGATTGGCCAAGCAAAGGCCTGGAGCACAGACTAAAGCTGACTAGGATGGAAGAGGGAGTAAAATGATGGCTTGGGAATGTTGAACTTGGGTACTGTAGGAACCTAGCAGGAAAGGGTTGGGCAAAGGTTAGGTGGAAACATGATTTCTGAAGATGAGATGATCACAGGCAGTTTTGAGTACTAAATGGAAAGGCATTCCTGATGGGACTACAGCACTTGCAAAGGCACAGAGATTATGCCTCTCCTCTGGTTACCTCTTTTACAGATAAAGAAACCAACTCTCGTGAAGATTAAGTCACTTTTCCAACCATATGGTGGAGGCTGGTCTTGAACCCAGCTATGTGACTCCAGAGCCCACATTATTGCTGCCATGTTTAACAAACCATTGATTTAATGAATAAGGAATGAGCAAATGGCCAGGCATGGTAGTGCACACCAGGAATCTCCTAACTGGAGAGGCTGAGGCCAGCCTGTGCTACATAGCAAAGACCTGGTTTAAGAAGTCTTTCAGGCAAGAAACCCCAAATCTACTTGCATATCTCCTGCCAGGTTATCTGGTCCACTATCATTGTTCACTAGGGTCAATGACATATCCAATCATTCTGGCCCTGTCCCTTACAGTCCCACTCTACTTTGTTATGAACACACTGGCACTGACTGTTACATCTTCCTGCCACATACACTGATCACAGTGAATGTGACTCTTTGGGGATGATGTGAAGTTCATGAATTCCCCTCATTTGCAAAGTGAAAATATTATCTTTCCATAGAATTGTTTGAGAGTGGGATAAGCCAGTGTACATATAAACAAATAACTATGGATTTATAATTTTGCTGTAGCCAGGATCTTACAAGTTGACACATACCACTGTATGGATTACTGTCTTAGTCAATGTTCTATTGCTGTAAAGAGGTACCATGACCAAGGAAATTCCCATAAGAAAAAAAAAAACATTTAATTGTTTACAGTTTCAGAGGTGAGTCCATTAGCATCATGGTGGGGAGCATGGTGGCAGGCACACAGGCTTGATGCTAGAAAAGTAGCTGAAAGCTACATGCTGAGCTACAGGCAAGAGAGAGAGAGACTGGGCTTGGCATGGGCTTTTGAACCCTCAAAGCCCACCCCCAGTGACACGCTTCCTCCAACAAAGCCACACCTCTTAATCCTTTTAATCCTTCCAAATAGTGCCACTCCCTGATGACTAAATATTCAAATATATGAATGAGCCTATGGGGGTCTTATTATTATTATTATTCAGACCACCACAATTACCTTACTATTTCATATGAAAATATTCTTTGGCTTCCTCTCTGCAAAGTTCTTATATGTAGAGGAAGACAGCCATGGACACTGATGACACTGGGTCTGGGCTATGTCCAGAGCCGAAGAATGAGGACGTGTAGACTAAACGTGCATCTGGGAAGGAGGCTGGATACACATCAGGGCTAGCCCGCACTGCAGGCAATGTTTCTGCATTGCATACCCAGGGTTTCCATGCTCATCTGGGAGCATGTGGTTTCTCTAGATGTGTATACTTGTTGAAACTCTCTGGGTGTTTGTGTGTCAATGTGTTGCCTGTGTATATAATGTGTGCTCAATATGCTCATGTGTGTTACCTTGGACTTGTGTGTCTGTATATATACCTGGATGCCTGTGTGTTCTATGATGTACATATACCCTGTGTCTTTCCTTACTTTTTCTATGTGTGTTATTTTCCCTGTGTTTCTTCAGGTTCTCACCACCAAGGGCAAGGATATGTACACTACCCAAGTGTCTACCTCTGCCTATCTGGTGATGTTTACACCACCCCCATGCTCTTTTCTTTGTGAGACACTGTGGATGCAGGAGACAGGTCTCGCCAGGAATGCTGCAGTAAAGAGAATTTCTACTTTTATTGTCCCCTCTGAGTGTGCCTCTACCCCCACTCGCACCCACAAAATACCTTCAGTGAAAATCAACACTGGAAACGAAGTATCTGGAGAGGATAACTGTGTGAGAGCAAGAGAGCCTAAGGATCAGAAAGAGGCAGCTAAATGGGATAGGGTCGTGGGGAGGGAGCTTCCTTACTAAGGGTCCGAACCCTCCGGACAAGAACCCCACCCCCACTCCCCAAATTGCGCATCCCCTATGCGAGGGGGGAGGGGAAGAGGATGCGGCGTGGCGCGTGCGCAGTGTAGGATTCAGCACCGCGGACAGAGCCTTCGCCCCCGCCGCCGGCGCGCTTCACCACCTCCCCCAACACCGAGGGCGGGCTGACGTCACTCGCCAGCCCTCCCCAAACTCCCCTTCCCCGCTGCCTTGGTCGCGTCCGCACCACCGTGGGTCCAGTCGGGCCGCACCACGAGAGGCGCGAGATAGGGGATTGCGGGCGCGACCATACGCGCTGCTGCGGCGGAGCCTCGGCGCTGCCTCAGTCTGCAGCGGGCAGCAGAGGAGTCACATCGTGCCGGAGAGCGCCGCTGTGCTCCTGGGCCCCACGCGCTCCGCCCCCGCGACCCACGGACCCACTGCCCCTTGGACCCCTGCCCCAAAACGCCACCATGAACTACCTGCGGCGCCGCCTGTCGGACAGCAACTTCATGGCCAATCTGCCAAATGGGTACATGACAGACCTGCAGCGTCCGCAGCCGCCGCCGCCGCCGCCCTCGGCCGCCAGCCCTGGGGCCACGCCCGGCTCCGTGACCACCACTGCCGAGAGGGCCTCCACAGCCGCGCCAGTGGCCTCTCCGGCAGCCCCTAGTCCCGGGTCCTCGGGGGGCGGTGGCTTCTTCTCGTCACTGTCCAACGCGGTCAAGCAGACCACAGCAGCCGCAGCCGCCACCTTCAGCGAGCAGGTGGGCGGCGGCTCTGGGGGCGCAGGCCGTGGGGGCGCCGCCGCCAGGGTGCTGCTGGTCATCGACGAGCCGCATACCGACTGGTAAGCTGCTGTTGCGCCTCCTCGAGGGCCTGGGTCCCCAGATGTTTCTACAGTGAATGAGCAATTATAGAGCGTCACCCAATTACTTCCTTTTAATGATTAAGCTCAACCCTTCCTTTACGCTCTGCTTTTACCTCCTCCAAACTAAAATGGGCACAAGGAGCAATTTTCTGTTGTCT